AAATGCTCCACACTACAAAGACGTCTTTTGGCATTAACGTCTCAAAATCTTTTGTACATTTCACCTCTATTTTCTACGGAAGCGTAGAGCTGCCACCCAGGCAAAAGAAAAATAGAAGTATATCACGTTATAACGTGAAAAGTTTATTGTTCTAACAAGATACTGTTCATGTTTGTACAATATAATATTTATATTGAACGAACGTGATAATTATGTATATTTTAATAATGTGGTATTATATTGTACAAACATGAACAGTATCTTGTTAGAACAATAAACTTTTCACGTTATAACGTGATATACTTCTATTTTTCTTTTGCCTGGGTGGCAGCTCTACGCTTCCCTAATTTTCTTATGAGGTCATAGGTTATAGTAAAATACCCCTTGCTCAACAACACTAAAGAACTTGTTAAAGAAAAATGAGTAGAGATAAGATGTGTGGTTTATTCACCTGTGACTGTAAGATTTTGGTACATTGTGATATCAGTCACGGGGTTCCATGCCTTGCATATGTAATTCCCAAAATTCTGGCTGGTTGCAGGGAAGACAATAATAGATGTGTTCTGTAGAGGTGTTGACAGATTGTTGAAGAACCAGGAGAAGTCACACGCTGGTCGAGAATCAGCCTGGCATATCAGGGACACGTGCATGAACATACTTGCACGGGAAATGGTCAGTCTGACTGGGCCATCTGGAAAAAGAAAGATTTAGTTTGAATAATGTACTGCAAAATTATGAATAGTGTTTTCTTGGCACACAATTCAAAAGAATATTGGGCAGATTTCTCAGAACTAGTTCTCAACAAACACTCACAGATCACCAACAGTCTGTACTGGGGGCTCACATGATCACCAGCCTTATTGGTAGCAACACACTGATATGTCCCTTCACTGTCCAGTGTCACTGGGGTGAAATGCAGCATGTTGTTTTCAATATTATAGGATGCATATGAGTTATTAGAGGTATGCGTGTTAAGCTTCATGTTGTCTTTCATCCAGTAGATTGTGTCATAGGGCCCAATAACTTCACAGGTGAGAGTAAAGTTTTTAGTGTCGATTGGAATTGTCGTGTTTTTGATCATCACTGACTCTATGGCCTCTGTAGACACAAATTACAAGGTGTTAAACACAAAAGAGCATGACATCTTGACTGGAGTACATCCCAATGAAATATTTAGACTTTAAGAACACAATAAGAATTTGCATTTGATTGGTTTCAGAGCCACATGTGCAACAAATTTCCTAAAAATCTTAAAGTGTTCATACCAACAACTGTGAGCGTAGTGGAGTTTGTGCTGTTCTTTCCTGTCACATTATTAATGGCCATACATGTGTATTCTCCACTCATGTTGAAAGACAAGAGGCTAGTTGCATACACTGACGTGTTGGACACCATTGATCCATTGAACCACCAGCAGAATTGAGTGAGTGGCACTGACATGGCAGAACAGCTGAAGACGGCTTGACGTCCTGTTTCAGCAAAAGCTGGCCCATAAATAATGGGCTTTTCTGGACCATCTGTAACAGCAAAAGAGGATAGATGACTTTAACAGTAAGACTCTAGAGTGTTAACTTTTTTGTTAACTACAAAGTTATTTAAATTGTGCCCATGTTGGACTCATGCAAGTATCATTCTTCAACTTGCGGTTAAAAATGTGGTGATGGATCAGCATGATGCAAAAGAGACTGACACACCTGTCCCTAATGAATGTTCTAAA